CGTGTTTTCTCAAACTTGGCCCATTTAAAGGGAGGGGAACTCAACCTCCAGGGCCCCCCAGGCAGCTGGGGGGGGTGGGGGAATTCTGGGAGTTGAAGTCCACTCATCTTAAAGTGGCCAAGTTTGGACAACACTGGTGTAGATATTACTGAACTACAACTCTCAGATAACTCATCCAGCATGAAAAATAGTGAAAGATCTTGGAAGTGTTAGTTCAGAAGTATCTGCAGCACTGCAACTGTCCCATCATTACTGCTGCTCACCTAACCAATGCGGAATAGACTAGTGATGCCATGTAACTTGGCCAAAATTCTCCTAGTAGAATGGCTTGTGCAACTGTTTCTCAAACTTTGTGGTGCCTAAAATAATAAACAAGCTTGTTTGACACCCCCCCCCCCCCATCCCAGCATAAAACTAATGAGTTCATTGGTGTGAGGGTTGGGCAATAAATGAATACAGGTAGTCCTCCTTTAGCAAACACAATTGGGACTGGCAACTTGGCTGTTAAGCAAATAAATTGTTAATGATAAATCATGTGACCATGACTGTGCTTACAATTTTACTTCAGCTTTCCTTTGCTTTACAGCATCAGAAGGATATGACCCCAAACAGCCAGGTTAGCCCAAAAGGCAGGGCAGCTTTTCAGAACTCAACTCAGGAGGAAGCCGGGTAAAAGGGCAAATCTTACAGCCCTTTTCCCCCACTCCCCCATTCTTTGGAATGCTCACCCTGGCACTGGTATAATTGACAAGAAGAGAATTGATGTTTGTATTTACATTCATTGGAGAGGAAGGGATTACAAGAGAGTAAACAGGCACACAGTGGGGAATATACATGGCAACTTGCTTAGGAGACAAAAAAGCCTTTAGTGTGAAACTGATTAAGGTCTTGTCAATTTCAGACAGCAGCTGCAAACCCCCAGAGCATTCTCATAAACTAATTAAGGTCACAGAGCTGAGCTTGTAAAGTTGCAGTTAGCACTTTCCAGGGATGCCTTGTCCAAAGGAGAAAAGTAGCTCCAGAAGAGATAGCTTGTTTACGCAATCTCTGCGGTCTGTGTGGGGGAAGGAGAAAAAAATGGGTCAATGCATATTAACTGAGTGTAATGGGGAGCACATGATCGAGAGAGATGCTGCATAGGTCAAAAATATGAGCATTGGTGCAAAGTTATCACCATAACTGTGAATAGTCATTGTCTGGGGCAGTTGCTAAATGAGGACTATCTGTACCCCATTGTAATAAATAATTTTTAATCTGTACATCATAGGATTCTCCAACTTTACAATAAAGCAACTGCCACTGGGGGCATGCAAAACTGAATTATGAAACAAGGCCCAGAGTAAGTTTTAAGCAGGCAGTTAAAAACAACAGCAACAGCAATGACTCCACTCTGGGGGTTCCTGATCTACAGTTTGAGAACTACTGGCTTATGAGGTAGGGGGTACTTCCACAAGAAAATGGATTGAGGTCCAATCATTCCAAAACTGGTTATTTGAGCCAATTAGTGCAAATGTATGCTGTTGAGATGGGATTCATTTAGTGGTTGATTAGAAGCAAATCCCTCCAATTACTTTGCAGTGCTTCCCTCCTGTACCAGAGTGGCAGAATATCTTGTTGCCCCCAAGCACATCCTCATCACACACCCAGAATGCTTCTGTGCAGTTCTGCTGTCCACAGTGTTTTAGTGCACGTTACTCTAAAGTCAGTGATTGGTGGCTCTCTTCAGCATCATTCAACATTACGTATCATATCAAAAGCCTCCTCCAACTGGCATACAGAACACTTTTTCTTTTTAAGCCATCCTGCTGTTGACCAATCAGCTGAACTCAGGACCCAGCTAAATAATCTTACCCACACTACAGTGTACCCATTTTTGTAATAGGCCTTGCATAGGCTCCCCTTCTTTGGCCAAAATTCTAACCCCCCAAGCACAAGTATGCACAGGGTCTTCTCATACTGAGTGGTGGTCCTTATGTATACAGAGGAACCTCTGTGGTTGGGTGGCTGTTGTGATGATGGCAAGATAAACAAAAAAGAAAACTCAGAGGAAACACAAGACCTGAGTTCTTTCAGATCTAGTTTCCCATGTACACATGAAGCCAAAGGTAGGCTAGTCAGGTTTAGGGATATGCCAGTCTCTATCTGGACTGTCAAATGTTTGGCCAACTCACTTAAAAAAGAAAATGAAAATGTCTGTGGGAGTTGGGTTGCAGTCAAAAAAAAGATGAGGTGTGGGATAAGAAGTCAGGAACCTAATGGAAGAGACAGTTGCTCAGGAAACCAGCAGAACCAATTGGAGCCACAGCAAAGGTAATACAGAGCACATCATTTCAGTTTGCCTCCCCCAAGTTATCAACATGCCCTACATTGCCCATATGCAGAGTCTTGAGGCATGATTATAAGGAAAATATCACTTCTAGAGCAGAGCAACACAGACTGTCTCAGCGGTGGACATGCAGAGGTATGAGGATGCATATTCTGGAACCAGTGGAAGGATTGTGCTCTTGGTGGGGCGAGGGGGCTGTTGGGATGTGGCCATGGCCCTGCAGGTTGTGTAAGGCCCCTTAACCTGGGCTGCAAATATGCAGAACTCTTTGCTGCCACCCAGCAGTTGTCTGATATTTGCCTACTAAACCTGACAGCCTTAATGTTGTAGAAATAGGGCCTTAAAGTCAGTTCCCTTAAGACTGGAAATTTGAAAACAATTGTTCTGTATGAAAGATAATTTTTGGGAAAGGTAAATTAGTAAAACAGTTAAGGAGCAAAGTTGTATAACCTTAAACTGGCTTTGCATTTAACTTGCAAATGGAATCTGCCGGGGGAGATGATAATTATCCAAATCAAAGAAGGCAGACAGAGGGACTCTCTGGCTCTTTTTCTCCTCTACTGTGATCTTGAGGAAAATCCTGGTCTTTGAACTGGGGAAATTCCTACCCTGCCCCAGGGAAGCGTGGCTAATTCCAGCTTCTGAGGAAGGGCTTTTCTCAAGACCTCAGAAAGAGAGGAAAGGGCTAAATCTTCCCCTCCAACTGTTACAGTCAGATAATTATCAGTTGCATATCTAGAAGATTTATTTATTTATTTTTCAAATTTGTCACCACCCATCTCACTGCAGAGTGACTCTGGGTGGTTTACAGTAAAAACAGAATAAACATGAAGATCAATTAGGTAAACTATGGCTAAATTAACCATACGTAAGCATGCATTGTAAAAAAATAGATAAATATTAATTAATTAATTAAAATATGCTACAATAACAAACTTCCTATATAATACTTCCAAGATGATGATGTTAATTAAGTGTTAATAAACTCAGGAAGCATCTTCAAGGCACCAGCCATTCCCAGGGTTGGTTGTAGAATTGTATCCACAATTTTAAAAAGATGTAAATGCAAATACATATTTAATATTATGTAGCTTGGCCAATTTGCTACTTCTGATCTGCTCTGAAGGTATATTTACAATGCATGCTTACGTATGGTTAATTTAGCCATAGTTTACCTAATTGATCCAGGGCACAATACACTGAACCATAAACTAGTGATACAGCCTGTGGTTGTACAACATGCTAAACTAAAGTATGGTTGGCCAGTTTGCAGTTCTATGTGTCACGTGAACAAAATAAAGTCTGCAAGGAAACACTGGAGTTTGGTCACCAACAGAGGCGAATATGTGTAGCTCAGGGTTGAACTGTGGAGTCTTTGGGGTTCTCTGAGCTTGGTTCTTTTCTTG